ACAACGGCTCGGGGGTTCTCGGAGTGGTTCATGCTCTCAGAACTTGGCTCGATTCTTCTCTTTCATCTTCCAAAATGGACCTAAAAATTGCACCAAAGACACGAGAAAGTACGCCAAAATACAAACACCAAAGAGAAAATAAAAACACACGGGATCAACAAAAATGGACCGGTTAGACAAGAAAACAAATCTAAACTGACTTAACTATACACATAAAACACATAAAAAGAAGCACAAAAACACAATAAACAACTGCAAAAGGAGATTCTTATTTTTTGTCGATTACATCAAAAAGAGGCCAGCTCATCCTGAGCTCGAGAACACAGTCGATCCCCGATTCGGCCTCGTCGCAGAAGCACCTCCCCAGCTCGACTCATGAATACGAGCTGGGAAGGACTGACCCAACCCAGAAGGCATACCAAGGCCTATGCGCGGTGCGCGTACTATGTCGGATAATGGTGCAGAGTGGCAATTGATGACCAGCGACCTCGACGAGTTCAAATCCACTCTCGTTTACTGAAGAGGATGCTTTTCTATTCGTTCACCTGCACTCAGATGCATTAGTGCTCACAACGGAAATCATCAACATAAATGTGCACTGAATTCTAGTCAACACAGGGCAATACGCTAGCATCTTATACTATAGCACATTCAAGAAGATGGGGATCGACCTAAAAGATGTGAAACCATGCTGGGACAGAATCCAAGGTTTTAACGGCCAAATAACCATTCCAATGAGGGAGATACACTGACAAATGGGTTTGGGAGAAAGGATTCAAATGAGAGGACCATCTTGGAGATATTCAAGATCATTGACCACCAAAATTAATACAAATATACTCGGAGGAACGACACTATACAAGCTCCAAGCTGCAGTTTCTATCTTTCATTATACACTCAAATTCGTGACCTCCGATGGTCAAGGAACCCATTACAGAGACCATCAAGAAACTCGAGAGTGTGTATTTGTTGTTCCTCGATTCGAGATTCATAATTCTAGTATAGCAGAAGAAGAAATTGTTGAGGAATGACTGAGGCCGTACAGGTGTTACTCGAGTTGCCATTACCCGAATGAACAATCCCGGGTATTTAAGTGACCGACCCTGAACAAGAAGGTCAAGCAGCTCTACGTTCGTCGGCATTAGGCAACATCGGCTCAGAATTGATGGATTTTGAAGAAAAAATATTGTCGGTAAGCAGATGGAGGAGACGCAACAAGGAGCCGATAAGAGTGGAAGACAAGCTCGACCCCCGAAAATAGTATAAAGATAGACGAGGAACTAAGCTAGCTGAGCCAATGGATGAGGTGGAGATCATTTTTATTGATGAACTGACGTGCAAGAAACAGCTCCACATTGAGAGTAAGCTGTCGGAGCCAACCAGGACCGAGTTCATCCATTTTCTCAAGAAAAACCCAGATGTGTTTGCGTGGACCCATGAGGAAATGATCGGGACTAACCCCAAGTTCGTCTGCCACAGGCTATAGGTCGATCTGGTGGTCAAGCTTGTGATCTAAAAAAGGCCTAAGCTCGGCCCAGACCAACAACAAGTCCACGAAGAGGAGGTCATCGAGCTTAAAACCAATCATTATATCTAGAAGGTTACTTGACCTGGGTGGAAAATCCAGTCCTCATCAAGAAGAGCAGTGGGGCTTGACACCTATGCATAATTTTTTGGACTTCTATAAGGCGTGTCTTAAAGATAATTACCCGCTGCCATACATTGACTACATGGTTGATGCAACATCAGGACATGAGCTAATGAGCTTCATGGATGTATAATCGGGCTACAACCAAATTTATAGGCATACGAACGACGAAGAACACACCTACATCTACTCGACACATTGATTTTATTATTATAAAATGACGTCATTTGGATTGAAGAATGTCGGGGCCACCTATCAACGACTTGTAATTAAAATATTTTTTTGTTTGACATGTGATGTTATAGAAGCTTATGCAGACGACATGTTAGTTAAATCCAATCTATGCGTCTTACCATGTAAGGAATTTGAATAAAAAATTCTCCATTTTGCATGATTATTCCATGGTGTTAAATGCTAAAAAATGCACGTTTGTGGTCAGCTCAGAAATATTCTTAGGCTATATTGTGAGCCAAAGGGGTATTGAAGCAAACCCGGATAAGATTAAAGCAATCCCAGATCTTCATCCTCCGACCTCTATCAAAGGGGTTTTATATTTGACGGGAAAGCTTTCTGCTCTCATCCGGTTAATTTCAAAGTCCATAGATCGATGTATATCATTCTTCGAGGCTATTAAGAAAAATCACAAATTTTAGTGGACCCCCAAGTGCCAAGGGGCACTAGAGAGCATAAAGGTCGTTCTGACCCGAGCTCCTATAATACAGAAGGCTTGGCCCGGGATGATGTTGTACTTGTACTTGGGGATGACCAATGTTGTGACCAGTGTTGCCCTAGTTCAGGAAAAAGCTACATGTCAGCACCCGATATACTATGTGAGTAAAGCCTTACATGACGCCGAATTGCGCCATTCACCAATGCAGAAATTGGCCTTCGCCTTAGTGACCGCAACTCGGAAGTTACGACCGTACTTTCTTGAATACTTAGTGACTGTCTTAACCGCTTTCCCGCTAAGGCAGATTCTGCATCTGCCCGACACTTCAGGTCGAATGGTGAAATGAGAAGTTGAGCTCGGGCAATTCGACATCCAATACCAACCTCAAATGGCCATCAAGGGGCAGGTCCTCTTTGACTTCACCGCCGAATTTACTTCGGGGGTCGAAGAAGTCAAGTATAGTGAGCCTTGGGTGATGTACGTAGACAGATCCTCCACCGCCAACAGAACTGACATAAGGGTCGTCCTCGTAGATCCCCAAAAGAGGTTACATTGCTACTCGGTCCAATATCTCTTCACCGCAACAAACAATGAGGTCGAGTATGAGTCACTTCTATCGAGATTGGCCTTGGAAAAATCGTTGAACTTAATCGACCTGGTAATCTACTCCGACTCAATGTTGATGGTCAAACAGACTTTCAAAGACTACAAGGTGAAGGAGTTGGGGTTGGTTCCTTACCTTGGCCTCACAAAGAAAAATATGGCAAAGTTAAGGATATCCTAAATACGTCGTTGCGGCTGTTGATTACTTCGCTGGAAGTCGAGCCCCTAGCTGCGATAACCGAGCAAAAAATAATCAATTTCTTGTGGAAGTCCATATGGCAGACTGGGTTGGGTGCATGGCTCTGCATGAAAGGGAGATAGTGCAAGCATAGATGGGAGCGAACCGCTAGATGTTTAAGTGAGAGTGTCAATCTTAAATCGAACAATTAATATCTCGATTTTGCGAATAAAACTCGAATTGATTATCTCCGATTCCCTGACTTCTCCATCTTCGTTTCGTTCTCATTTTTAGGTAGATTATGCTTTTTATTATTTTTTAGCTGATAATTTCTCAAACCCGCTATCTGATTAGAATGTTTAGGATTTTATTT